GCCGCTCTATCTCTTTTTTCCATACCCCGGGCGTCCCGGATGCCTGCAGCTTGCTCCGCCCTTCACTTACACCTTCCCGGTGAGGCGCCCCCTCACCTCGTCATCGGGCGGGGATGTGGCCGCGGCCATTTTTGAGCTCCCCCCACCATATGCGGCGACCGCAGATTCTCCAGTCCGGCTCGGAAGTTTCAGCACCCGCCCTATAAGACGACACCTGGCATATAAGACGACCCCCGACTTTTGAGAAGATTTTCCTGGGTTAAAAAGTAGTCTTATACGACATAAAATAGAGTAGGTATAATTACAAAGGATGAATATAAACACATAACACAAGTATGTAGGGACAAAATTAACAAGGCCAAGGCACAAAATGAGATCAAACCAGCCAGAGACATAAAGGGTAGCAAGAAAACATTCTACAAATGCATTAGAAGCAAGAGGAAGATGAAGGACAGGGTAGGCCCATTAGTCATTGACGGTGGCAAAAGAATAACAGAAAATGTGGAAATGGCAGAGGTGCTTAATGACTTCTTTGTTTCGGTTTTCACCAAGAAGGCTGGTACTGATTGGACGTCTAATGTAGTGAATGCCTGTGAAAACAAGGTAGGCTCAGAAGAGGGTAAAATAGGGGAAGAACAAGTTAAAAATTACTTAGACAAAGTAGTTCTCTTCAAGTCACCAGGGCCTGATGGAATGCATCCTAGAATACTCCAGGAGTTGACAAGGAGATACCTGAGCCATTAGCAATTATCTTTGCAAAGCCATGGAAGATGGGAGAGATGAAAAGGGCAAATCTAGTGCCTATCTATAAAAAGGGAAATAAGGACAACCTGGGAAATTACAGACCAGTCAACTTAACTTCTGTACCCGGAAAGATAAGGGAACAAATAATTACACAGTCAATTTGCAAACAGCTAGAAGATAATAAGGTGCTAAGAAACAGTCACCATGGATTTGTCAAACACAAATCATGTCAAACAAACCTGATAGCTTTCTTTGACAGGGTAACGAGCCTTGTGGATGGGGGGTAGACGTGTTATATCTTGACTTTAGTAAAGATTTTGATACCGTCTCCCATGGCCACCTCTTAAACAAACTAGGGTTAGCAACCTAGATGGAGCTACTATACAGTGGGTGCAAAACTGGTTGGAAAACTGTTCCCAGAGAGTAGTTATCAGTGGTTCACAGTCATGCTGGAAGGGCATAACGAGTGGGGTCCTGCAGGGATAAGTTCTGGGTGCGGTTCTGTTCAATATCTTCATCAATGATTTAGATAATGGCATAGAGAGTACACTTATAAAGTTTGCGGAAGACACCAAGCTGGGAGGGGTTGCAAGTGCTTTGGAGAATAGGATTACAATTCAAAATGATCTGGACAAACGGGAGAAATGGTCTGAAGGACAAATGCAAAATACTTCATTAGGAAGGAACAATGGGTTGAACACATACAAAATGGGAAATGACTGCCTAGGAAGAAGTACTGTGGAAAGGGATCTGGGAGTCATAGTGGATGACAAGGTAAATATGAGTCAATGGTATAACACTGCTGCAAAAAAAAGCAAACATCATTCTGGGCTATATTAGCAGGAGTGTTGTAAGCAAGACATGAGAAGTAATTCTTCCACTCTACTCTGCTCTGATTAGGCCTCAACTGAAGTACTGTGTCCAGTTCTGGGTGCCACATTTCAGGAAGGATGTGGACAAATTGGAGAGAGTCCAGAGAAGATCAACAAAAATGTTCTAGAAAACATGACCTATGAGGGAAGATTGAAAACATTGGGTTTGTTTCTTCTAGAGAAGACTGAGAGGGGACATAACAGTTTTCAAGTATGGAAAAGGTTGTTACAAGGAGTAGAAAGAAAAATTGTATATCTTAACCCCTGAGGATAGGACAATAAGCAATGGGCTTAAATTGCAGCAAGGGCGATTTAGGTTGAACATTAGGAAAAACTTCCTATCGGGGTGGTTAAGCACTGGAATAAATTGCCTAGGGAGCTTGTGCAATCTCCATCATTGGCGATTTCTAAGAGCAGGTTAGACAAACACCTGTCAGGAATGGTCTAGATAATTAATCCTGCCACGAGTGCAGGGGACTGGACTAGATGACCTCTCAAGGTCCCTTCTAGTCCTATGATTCTATGGGGGGGAATGGGCTATTGAGGGGCATGGGGGGATGCTTGGATATTGGGGGAGGGGCCGGGGGTAACATACCCTGGAGCGGGGATTGCAGGGCTGGGGAGGTACTTACCATGGGGCACATAGTAGTGGCCTATGGGTCTATGAGGGTCCATGTGGGTCTTTCCCTGTGGCGTACGTAGCAGGGGCTAATGGGTCTGCGGGGGAGGGTTACAGGCTGTGGGTCACTCACTGTAGGGTGCGCAGTGGGGATTTGGGGGACGACCAGGCAGGCTAAAGTGGCAGGGTGATCTGTGGGTCTCACCATGGGGCACGTGGGCGGGAGCAGGGGGATCTGTGGGTCTCACCATGGGGCGTGTAGCGGGGGCGCAGCACGGCGGGCAGCATGTAGCGGGCGGCTCCATCGGGCTCCAGCGGCAGCTCGCAGACGTAGCGTAGGGTCAGCGCCGCCTCCTCCCCAGGGGGCAGGTTACCCAGGGAGCAGCTGAAAATGTCACCCCCGGCCCCCTCCTGCTGCAGCAAGAACGAGCTCTGTCCCCCGGCAAGCGCGTCCCCGTACAGCTCTTGTGCCTGCCAGAGAGACAGGGTCACCCTGAGATCCCCCTGCCCTACTCCCAGCCAGCACATCCTCATACAGGTCTTTTTTATTTTTATTATAAATGGAGATATCCTATCTCCTAGAACTGGAAGGGACCTTGAAAGGTCATCGAGTCCAGCCCCCTGCCTTCACTAGCAGGACCAAGTACTGATTTTGCCCCAGATCTCTAAGTGGCCCCCTCAAGGATTGAACTCACAACCCTGGGTTTAGCAAGCCAATGCTCAAACCACTGAACTATCCCCTACAAAAAATACATTGTCCAGGAAGTGCTGCAGTTCCACCTTCACCCACCAGAGGCTGCTGTGGTACTAGAGCAGCCAGGAGCCGGCTGCATTCTTCACAGCACCCTGCCCACGGAGCCAGGTTAGGAAAGAGTGGGGCTGCCGGGGGGGGTCACAGACGGGGGTTCAGAAGGGCTGGTGGGCGGGGGAGAGTCTGGGCTGTGGGCTCAGGAGCTAGTGGGGTGACACCGTTGAGCCAAGGACAGAGGGAGGGGAGCTGCAGGGCCACACGGGAACAGGGGAAGGGGGATGCAGGGACACACAGGGATGGGGGAGGAGGCTGCAGAGACCAATGCGGGGGTGTGTGGAGACAGGGGCAGATGTGCCTGACTGAATGGGAGAGGCTTGGGGTGAGCCTCTGCATTTGGGAGGCTCCCCAACTCCCTAACAATCCCTTCCCCTACTCGCCCCCCCCAAAAAACCACCCACACCCAACAATCCTTGAGGTTCACTTCAGACTCCTTCCCTCTCCCTCAGCTCCTCCATTACCCCTGACTCCCCCAAGCCTTTGCGCTGCTTCTGAGAGGTGTGGGAAATCCGGTTCTATATTGTAGTTTAAATGAATTCTTACACAAAGTTCTGTATGAATAAGCCTAGAAAGGAATCTATTAGTGGAAAAATTTACCAGAATCTTTTTTTTTGGTCTGTGTTGTTACAGATGTACTTGCTGACATTATTTTGAAATAAATTACCAAAATAATGGAAACTGGCGTGATTACACTGTTATTTTGACAAAAAATATATGCAGAATTTTAAAATATTGTGCACAGAATTTTAATTTTTTTGGTGCCTAATTCCCTCAGGAGCAACAGCTCCTGTACCGCATTGAGAGACAGGGTCAGCCTGAGATCTCCTTATCCCATGAGATCCCCTTGCCAGGGTATCCCCATACAGCTCCTGTGTGTACCGGGAGAGACCAGGTCACCCCAAGATTCCCCATTCCCCCAACATCCCCCTGCCCTGCCCCCTGGCGCGTGTGTCCCTGTACAGCTCTTGCAGCTGCCGGGAGAGATGGGGTCACCCCGAGATCACCTGCCCTGCCCCCGAGCCAGTGTGTACCCATACCCTGCCCCCTTGGTACCGTCTCTCCCCCCTGGTACCTCTTTCTTCTCGTGGAGCTGGGCCTCGATGCAGGCGCCCCCCAGGCGGGCCTGGAAGGCGTAGATGGCCGCCTCGGCGTCCACGGGGAACACGAACACGGCCTCCACTGGCCCCGGCTCCTCGTTCCTGTACAGCAGCTCACAGCCCACGTCTGCCACGAAGCCTCGGATCAGCACCGTCACCGAGCCGCTGCGCAGGGGTACTGTGGGGAGAGGGACATCAGCCACAGGCCCCTCTGACCCCCATGGGCGCCGGGGGAAGGGGGCATCAGTCATGGGACCCCCCCGCCCTGACTCACCCGGCTTGTTGGAACTGTTCAGGAGGCTGCAGCTCATCATCTTGGTCCGGGGTCGGAGATCTGTGGGGGGGGGAAAGGTGTGTGGTGAGATACAGGGTTCCCATGGAAACTGATGGGCACAGAGTGTGTCCTCCAGCAACGGCTCTGAGACCCTAGCCCCAACCCCCTGCTCAGTCAAGTCCTGTGGCAGGGAGTCCTGCAGGCTGTCGGGCCTAGATCAGAGAGACGGCTCCTCTCGGGCCCCCCCCCGGGCTCCCCCTTCCTGCATACGGGGCCAGTTCCCAGCAAGTAGGGGCAGGCAGGGACCATGGTACAGCTAGGAGCTGGATGGAGAAATGTGTGTGTGGAGGGGGGTAATGGGGATGGATGGACAGATGGACGGGAGGGGGTGGGGATGGATGTTTGGATGGAGGGAATGGCTGGGAGCCGGGGGAGGGATGGAGAAATGTAGGGGAGCATCACAGGGCCCTGCACATGTGCTGGGGGAGGCGGGGAAACGCCCCCACTTGCCCACAGTGGGATGGATACACCCTGTCATCAGGGCTCTCAGCCGGGCCAGACAAACACGATCAGGGACTACCGACCCCCCCACACATGGCCCCAGCCCCCGGCAGGGACTGGGGTATGGGTGAGAGATGGAAATGTACGGGGGATGGAGGGAGGGAGGGAGGGAAGGAGGGAGATGTGTGGGTGGGGACGCACAGACAGAAAAGAGAGTT